ACCACCCACCCACTACCCTCTCTCATAACACAGAAGTGTTGAGCCAATAATAACCCATGCATTGCAAGGTGGGTATATACATACTCAACCATTCACTTGGGGGACTACACAAAAATGCCTTCCGAACCTGCGAAATATGACGTTAAAGACCTGGAGGCTGACCGGACTGTTAGCGGCCACTTCGTTGGTGAGAGTGATTTTGATGGTCACCAGCGTCTGGTCGTGTTTTGTCGTGGACACAACCTCAGTCACATCGTCCGGGAGACGGCGAGGCAGGAACAGGATCATTCCGTCGAAAGCTCTCACGTTTCCGATGAGGTTAGTGTGCTCGCTGAGGAGACCGGCTCGGAGCCCGCGACTCTCAATGGGAGGAGAGTAGGACACATTGTACTGGTAGAGGGCACAGTTGGGGCGATTACGGAGGGCTACAAAGTTGGAGCGGAGAGGGATGGTTTGGCCGGCTGCACCCCGTTTGTCAGTGATGTGATCTGGTCGAGTGTGGGGCTCAGAGGGAGGGCCACGACGCTCCATTGCCGGCTTGGCACCACCTGCTGCACCACTTACACTCATCTGGGCCATCTGCTCCGTTGGTGGCTGCACACGCACGTGACAACAAAACATGAGCAACAAAGTGAGAAGAAGTGCAGTACACACATTTTGTTTTAGCTTGTAGCGGTGCAGAACGTGGCACTTACGGATGATGATTGTTGCTGCCGCGGCACAGGAGTGGCTGCAGTGGCCGTAGCTCGTCCTCGTCCGCGCCCGACTTGCGGCTGCTGCTCCGCGCCTGCAGCAGAGCGCGGAGGTTCCCCCGGTCGCCTGGCCTCGCCGGCCCCGCTTCCGCGCGACCTCCCTCTTCCTCGGCCTTTAGCTCTCCCCGTCATCTTCTTACTTCAACTACGCCTGGTGCTCCGCACGCTGTTTCCCAAACAAACTCAGATTTTGGGGCCTACATACGTTTACAAGCCTGCTGCTGCATTCGATGACACAGCGAGCTGGGCCACTACTTGCTTTCAGCCGCCGCAAAAAGAAGCCGCCGCAAGAAGAAACTACTACCGCACACACACACACACGTGGCCGCCCCTCATACCGCGCATGCGTACGGTTCACATTCCGTTCAGCAAATGGTCCGGATACCGTATTGCTCGTAAGTAGACACTCCCCCATACGCTGGACCTCAGCTAGCTGTCTGCCCGGCTCAGTGTCTTTGTCTCTCTCCGTCAAGATCAGCAGCTAGCTAGTTTAGGCGGGAGCTACTGAACCATGGCGGCTTCGGACCGCTACGCGACCTTTGCAAACTTTGGCGGTGGGTTCAAGGACAAGTCAACACGGCCGCAGATCACTAAAGTTCTCCTTGCAGAGTGCATCAAGCGGAGACTGCCGTCAAAACATTACGTGAGTCTCTGAACTTACCTTGCTGAGCCATCTACGAGAGTGATTACGTACAGTCATACAAAATACAGTGAAGATCACAGTCATACGAAGATCAGTATCAGAAAAGACGTGTTGTTATGTAATTGGTCAAACATGATTAGTCTAGGTAGTGTGGTACTTCAGATCACTATGACATTATCCTCTAGTGACATGCTGTCAAATATCAGAGTGGGAAAAAAATAGCTGTGATTCTTTCTTCAGGTGTATAAGATGATTGTGGAGTGGACGTCAGGAACCTCATCTATTGTCTACAGACGATACAGCATGTTCTTTGACTTTCAGGTGAGTACAAGTTGAAAAGTACTTTTCTTTCACACTCTCTACAGCTCCTTTATAGCCACACATGTCAGTGTAGTAGATTGGATATACTGTAGCTTCAGTGGAATGCAGATGTGTACAATATTATACCCTACACGCATACGAGGGTGACCACATGAGCTATACTGGAATGCTGCATTGATCCTATGCTGATCTGTAAAGATGGCTCAAAAATAGACAAACTGTTAGAGTTGATTGAAATGTGAGGTTGCAGAAAATGGTATGACAGTGCTACAGTATACACACCTGAATGGACCCTTGCCTTTGCACTCAGAACTTAGTGCATTGTCCTACGACTACCTTACCGTTGTGAGCGTATGGCAATAGTTGTTTCAGCAGAGAATAAGGCCCGAATGATTTTGGTAGCTTGCTATGTTGGCGATCCATTAGTACATTCAGCTGTACACATGTAGTTTGTGGAGCACACTAGTTCATTGAATAAGTCAGGAGAATTGCTGAGTGATGTAGCCATTCATATGACAACTTCAAGTGGTCATGTTGGACATTAGAAATTTTTCTGTGCAAAGATTTTTAACTCTGCTGATTTAGCTACTAGGCATATGGGGTTTGATTCGACCAGAGAGTAGAGTGATAAACGTATGCGTGTGTTCTCATCGTGCGCTGCTGGGGTATCAGTTGTGCCATCAGCTAAGTCCACCTCTGAATCTCAAATGACCATAACTGACTCTCTGTTTGGAGTGTGCGGCTCATATACACATACATACCTATGCCTGTCATCTCTAGCCTCCCACTGGGCTGATAGTCGTAGGACCTGCACCATTAGCTGGCAGTATATGGACGTCTGTTTTTGCTCTCTTGCAAGGCTCCCTCATGTGGGTACACGAACAACAGAATCCTATGGAGATAAGGAATTACCACTTTGTACATAACGAAATACGATAACTCAGTTCTCTATTGTAATAAAGTCCTTGTATGTCCCTTCAATTATCCACTTTGCCCTTTTTCACACGTACGTAAAAGGTGAAGTAATTTCACGTACATGCGTGTGATTGTTGGATAATTTTTCAGTCTTACTGTATTACGCCATTTGGGATTAGCCAGCTCGATTGGGTGATCAATCCATGGCTCCATAAGGGAAAGATGTGGGTTCAACAGTACAGTACAAGTATACGTACAGGAACGAACAGTGATGGGGAATCTAGTGGGAGTTTAAGTATGGTATGTAATTCTATGAATGGGACAAGCAACTGTGCACATTTCATAGGTCCAGGTAGACTTTGGTGTCTTTCTCAGAATCTAAATTAAAGTCCTAGTGCATATATCCACAATTAAGTTGTGAATCACGGCCATAAGCTCCACCCACACTCAGTCCCACATGCAAAGGAGGTGTGAATATATTAGGCAGTTTTATAACAGTCGAGTAGTCATGCACAGGTATTATACTCTGCAGGATTTGCACATGGACCCACATGCACGTGTGGTGTTTGCACATAAGACCTACTCTGTTTGACGACAGTGGGTGATCAACTTTGTTATTCAGGATGTTTTTGCGGTCTGCTGCAGGTGAAATTGCAGGAGCTCTACCAGTGCCTGTGCCAGAAACACCCTCAGTTGGTGCAGAAAGTGCCACACCTTCCAGAACTGCCTGGTGCGAATAATCCATCATTATCTTCTCACTCTCTTGCAATGAGCCATAATAACCTCAGTCAGCTAATTAATGCAGCACATATCAGATTATAAGTAAGCACGAGTTACGTAAACCAGCCTACATTAGTCAACCATTGTGGGCACACAATTGAGACACTCTCTCTATCCATCATTATTTTCCTCTCGTTTTCCTCTACCAACTCTATTGCTATAGACTTACCTATTACATTCTCATGCCTGCATGATCTCAAGTAGTGAAGGAGAATGAGAAAACTCATTGGGTTTTATATACTAAATGGGCTTGCAGCAATAGAGAGCTGGGAGAAATATCTATTGCCTTTTCCTTCTAGCCGTATTAGTACAGGTATGTAGCTATATACATGTGTACTCAAAGGATATTGTTGAGAAACTCGATAAAGGGAAAGAGCATACTACAAGTTTGCAAAGAAGTGTGCTGCAATGTCCATAGATAGAGAGACACACAGAGTGTGTGTGTCTGTCAACTATAATGTGTCACCACCTACATAGAAAGATCATAGGCACTCCTCGTTGTTACACCCACTGAACAACACAGTTAGCATGCTGTACAATAAACCTGATGCCAACTCCAAGACTACAATGTCTTTATGTGGGGGAGTGTGTGGGGGAGTATAGTGAAAGATCATTTATCCCTCCCATATTTTGTCCTCAGGAAAGATCATGTTTGGGCGCAGTCACATTCACCAAGTGGCTGAGAAGAGGAGAGGAAAGATTGAAGAGTTTTGTCAGGTATAGCATCTCCCTACATTTCTGTTAATGATACCGACGCACACATTGGAAACTTGGAATAGTTGAACCATAGATGTTCTATATACGATACGTAGCCAGTGTCTCGGAACTGATTGATGAATGACTACAGGCCGGGAGGGAAGGAGGAACCAATGTTTTTTTCGGGAGTCAAACCAAAAGCGCTACTCGAAGTCCAGTGCATTATGCACTGAGCTACAACTCCCAGATAAAAGCTGGTCTTCCTCATTCCCTCTATACTCGGCCAGTTGTCGTTGAAATAGAGTTTACCTGCAGTGTACAATAACATCAAGTTGCCGACACCGCATTTAGCCTTGTTCGCTTATAGAGGTGACCAATCATGTGGTGGCAGCTTGAATGTAAGAGATTCCGTGGTATTCATGAGTAGATAAGTACATTCACCTGTACTTTGGCTGAACTACAGATATTGAGTAATGTTATGTAGCATGCATAATGTTGTCTGAGGGACTTGTATATACATTACAGTGTGAATGTGTGGAGAGCCCCCATTTAGGCAGGAGTGTGTGTGTGTGTTGGTGAGCTCCACCCATTTCATTACCAGACAGGGCGAGGTCCTCAATGAAAGGAATCTGACAGCTACTAAAGGGGCAATGGTTGTGATACGTAGTGCACCCCATAAGGCCAGGAGGTAGAAGGAGAATATGCCAGAGAGTTGTGGACCACCTGTTCATGACATAACCTCTTCAGCTGGCCTCTTCCCACTATATAGCCAAGTGGAAAGAGAGTAGAGATTGGGCTGACTCACAACTCCCTCACTTAGTTTCGTAGTACATAGTTCAGAGCAATGCCCCTCCCCTGTTGGAGGACGTACATTTTGAGGTTTGAGCATGCAAGAAACACCGCTAAAAGTTACTATAATATCCTCCTCTGAACTACCCTCAGATGACAAGTGTGCATGTGTTTTGTTCCATCCACCTGTAAGCTCTGTTTTGGCAATGGATCATTCAATTACTGAAATAGCGTGGGTGGACTGGCTCCATTTCAGGAGTACACAGATGTGCAGGGAACAGCATTACATTAGGAAGGCATGTGTGGGAGAGGCTGTGGTACTCTATATACTCACCACTCATCCCTGCAAGCTCAGCTGACGAGCTGGAGAAACCTTGCATTAGCTGAGGCATGCAGCCTAATTACCTCAAACTGGCATGCAATTGGAAATGCAATAATAATTGCCTGTCACAACAATAGCAAGGGCTAAGATTCTCTGTGCTACTATGGTAATATTATGCTTGATTACATTATATCACTTAAGGCAGTTCCCTTAGGGGTTAGTTTGGTACATGACACTATAATACATGCATACGTTCTCCTTCGCAATAATACTATGTGTTCCCTCGCCCTCCCTCTCTGCAGCAAGTTGTTTCTCTCCCGCCAGAGATCTCCCACACCAACCTGGTGATGGGATTCTTCAACACCTGGCCAGACGACACAATGCTTCCCCAGCACTCTGAGTAAGCTCCTAACACTCATGTAGTAATATCTTCTTTGCCTTTGATAGCACAGTGTGTATCTGATACATATGTAACTGGATACTCTTTTACGGGCTGTGGTATACAGCCCCTAGTATGACGCTACTTATGAACAAGGACAGATTGGCCAGTGTCCTAACTCTATGGTCAATATACATGCATTAGGGCTTTACGTTACAAAATCAATATTGAATGAATCAATAAGTAGCAGGGATAATGGCTGGCACGTGCACCTAGTAATCTGCCAAATGTGCACAAGTGACACACACTGTACAATGTCATACTTCAATAACGGGCAGGGGTATGTGCTCTCCAAGCTAGGGCAAAGTATGCAGGTTCTTTAGGTAATGCATCTGAAATTTCATACTTGTGTTTGCTCAGGAAACATGAATACACTGCACGTGCATGAAAATCAAAGTCCTCTTATGGTGACTGCACTATTCCTCACTCGCCAAACATGTACTGCATTCACGTGTGTTTATGTACAAGCATTGTATGCACAGAGAGAGCATTCACTGGAGAGGACATCCGACCTGCTCAATATACCACATCCGATTCTGTGGCCAATGGGGCACATGAGCTGGTGCCAGAGTCACATCATTCCATCGTGACACCAGCCATTGTCCTCCCTCACATTCTTATATTCCTTAACTGTAATCGCCACGGAAACATTAAATGGTAGAAATAATTATGCTGCCATCATGTTGTTATATTTGGCATTCAGATTTTGCCATCATTCCTCGTTGAGGCATTCAGAAAGCTCTTCCAGCAAGTGTGGGAACCCATCACCATAGTAATAAAGATCTGTTCCACAGTTTAATCTACAGTAGTGGGCAATTGTGTTATGCGCTATTGTTCAAAATAACTCTTAGTATGGTCACTGCTGAAAAATGCTACACCTACTCATATAGGGCTGTAGCGTAATTGTTTCATTCTGTCTTTGTGTGGCTGCTGCTTGATCCTACTTCCTGCTGGACTGTATCTCTCTCCCACAACCCCACAACTCACTACACCTTTTCTCACTGTGGTTCCTGACTCAGGCTTCCCCAATGATAGAGACTTATGCACAAGACGTCTATATCCAGGGGTTCCACAACGATAGAGACTTGTGCACAAGACGTCTATATCCAGGGGTTCCCCAATGATAGAGACTTATATGCACAAGACGTCTATATCCAGGGGTTCCCCAACGATAGAGACTTATATGCACAAGACGTCTATATCCAGGGGTTCCCCAACGATAGAGACTTATGTGCACAAGACGTCTATATCCAGGGGTTCCCCAACGATAGAGACTTATATGCACAAGACGTCTATATCCAGGGGTTCCCCAATGATAGAGACTTGTGCACAAGACGTCTATATCGAGGGTTCCATTATACACACGGACTGGAAAAATTTACTCAACAATTCGCAGGCTTATCACAATGTTCTTTCTCCCATATCACCTTCCTTTTCGGGTGGTGTAGTTAATTACCTAATCCTGTTACGTCGTGTAATGACAGCATTCAAGCAGCCCCTTGGACTAAAGATCTCAGGGATCATATTGGGAAGCATAATGGAGGCACTTCAGCATTGCATTCTTATAAGTCGAGAGTTTTCTACATCCAGAGGCTCCCACCAATAAAAATACACAGACTGAAAAGTGACAAGTGAAAATAGGTCATTTTACAGACTGTGACTCTTCCAAATATATTTGCGCACTGCCTTCTTTATTGGCGACGTACTGGCTGTTCATCCTGTTATGCTTATATGCAATGGTCACCGATCATGCATGACCTAGCAGCCGCTGTTTGGACGAAAGATCTTGGCAAAACCTAATGTCACATTTCCATCTCAGGGAGCATAATGGAGGAAACACATTGAGCAGTGAATAGCACTCTATTTTGTGGGGGATTTCCAGATTAGCACATTATTCCTGCAGTGATACTATTGGTCATGCAAGAGCTGTGAATTAGGTGTGATGACAGCTATTAGTATCTCCACACTGTGCACACTCAATAGTGGACTGGGGTGAGATCATGCAGCTAGTGTTGGCAAGCCTCAATAGTCGTTGACATACTCTCTGCCATTGAGACGCTCTCTCACATCCTCTCATCGATTCTGCTAGCTCTGCGTCCAGACAGCTGTAATTGAATTAGCTGCAGCTTAATACCAGTCATAGGCCCAGAATCTTGGAGAGGATGCCTGGTAATCGGGTTACACTGGGACTGAGTGTAAACCAATTCCAGGACTCACATGTAAACAACTGCTGACTCACTTCCAAACAAGATCATAATTTTTCATACTTATGGGTATTAATGCACGGTAGTTTAACCACACTACATGCATAAAATACGCCAGTGTGGATTAATGTGTATACGATTTGATTCTGATGAAGTGGTGTTTGTGTACGTATTATACGTATTATGTAGATCACTCATGCTTACCCGAGTGTGGATGATTAATGAATGAGTTTCAGTAGTTGCCCAGCGGTAGTGGCTAATTTGATATTGATATGTAAATAAGTATTTGTGCTGAAACCGATAGTTGCCAAGGTGTTGTAATTTCACCCTTGGCCGCCTCCCCACCATCTCCGTCACTTCCACATATTTCTATCCCTTGTCTCCGCAGGTCAGTCTCCTCCACTTCCTCCTATTCCTCCCCCTCTCGTCTCCTATCCCCCACCTCCCCCACCTCTCCGTCCTCACTCTCGGCACAAAACTCCACCCCTTCCCCCACACTTGGACACAGCTCTGGTTCTGGTAAGTCTCCACTGGCTATGTATTATGTACATGAGCCAAACTTTTTGATAAACAAATCCCCTAAACAATTCATGTGTGATGAAGCATTGCTCCAGCATTTTTATATGCCATCTTCAATTGACCAGACAGAGTGTATATAGCTACTCTCACTATTAGTTCCCAACTCCACCCAAAGAGTGAACTTTGTCTCGCGGTATATCATAGTAGAGATCCTAAAACGGATATCATGTGATTCACCTGAGTGTGTGTGTGTGTGCTGTCTTCATGACCTTGTCTGTCTGTTGGTGGGAGGTGTATTATAGTTATTTACTACCGTATTCTCCCTGGTTGCAATATAATTAGCGAGCGTGCCTAGTTGTTTCAATTTTCTATATTATAATGTTCATAACTAACTGTTGGGCACTGTCAGTACCATAGTGAACTGCTCGCGCTCGCTCGCCACTATGCACCAAACACCTACACAGAACTACTGTTTGAGACTTTGGGGGCCATTTATTTTGGTGGGACCTCAATGGTAAATGCAGTGAACAACGTTTCATAACCTGAAGTTGTTCAACTAGTGGGCTAAAGATTGGTGATCGTATCCACACATAAGGTGCTGAAAGTAGTGACACAGACATCTACAATGGGTCACAGTATTACACGGCGCTGGTGTACTGCGCATGCGCAAACGCGCCGCTCGCGTCGATTTTTATTACGCGCGCAGTCCTGCGGTAGGTCAGTTTGCAGCTAGCTAAGGTCAGAGAAGCCTGCAAGCCAAGTCGAGCCCGTCGAAAATCGTGGATCATCTTGCTCCTATCGACTTCAACTGCTACAGCAAGCGCCTGGGACGATGTCTGTGCTGCTGTGCAGACTGCCTCCAGCCATCTATACTCGTAAGTCTAGAAATAGCTAGCTAAGCTCTGCAAGTGCTGCATTCAACATTCGACACTAGCTAGACACACCAGGTTAATAACCACGTATAGTTTCACCGTATGCTTTAGTTTTGCTTGACGTGATGATTCTAAAAGTAAGAAGTTACGATGAGTGTTCCAGAATTTTGCCTGGTGTGATATGATATTATGATAGTGGGAGTTAGCTCGCAGTTAACCCATGCAGGGCTTATTTCTCCAGTGCAAGTATAACATAGACTTACACACACAGTTAGTCCATGCGCAATCAGCAGTGTATGCAGCCAGTCATTAGGCTGTGGGCAGAGAGTCAGGATTACTATTGTCAGGCATCACTTGCCAGTGAGCAGCACAGTGCTATCCAAGATGGACAACAGATGACACTTGTACCAGCTGCTCTAGTGGCCAAGAAATAATGTGATAGTCTCTCCAGACTGCATGCCTGTGGTCCACTTTGAGTGTTGGTAATAGTCCCTGTGTGTCTGCCTGCCGGCCTCTTTTACCATCAGAAAATTATTTGCTTGATTGAAAACACTTATTTTGCTGTTTGCACACATAATATAATACACACGCAGACGTGTTCTGTGGTGTTTTTACTACCTCCTACCAGTATCTATACCACGCTTCTCCTACAATGAAACATTCGTGGCCTAAACATTGTCCCCCCTCGCATATTATGCGTGGTATAGTATACAAGAGCCATGCTCACTGTTCCATGGCATGTCCTACTGTATTATACCATGACATTAAACAGGAGGGAGTGCTGTGGTGGGATAAGAATGCATGGAGGAGACTTTGAAAGAATCCCTTTACAAGGAAAACTGAAGCTCTACAGTAGCTCTATGGCATAAATATTTGGAGCGGAAGACACATGCTACAAAGCGTCAGCTCCTTTAAGAAGTGCAGACTTGAAATCTAGAGTCCCCGGTCCCCTCTTTGACCCTGTCATTGATAGGTAATAAAGTTCAGGGTGATGTATAGGATATATGTTACCAGTATCACTGTTTGTGGTGTTAGTAACCTACTACACAATGCCACCTCCACTACATGTACCATCTATGGCATGCTAGCTCCCTATATTTGTCAATGTTGATATTAACATCTGCAATTATTGTGTTGATACCGCTGCATGAACAAAGACACACAAGAGTGTTACTGTGAGCTCATGGTGTATCCTTGTTCTCAGAATCTCCCTGCATATGGGCATATAAGTAGATACATAGGTGGTAGTTACCAACCTAGACTGATATTCCATCTACATATTACTACACTGTAGCACCATAGCCAACGTGTAAGCATTAGCTCCGCATTTGTCTCTGCATGTACTGGTCACACTGAACCAATTTGCTTAAGTAAGTTAATTCTGATCATGGTTCATGTGTTTTTGAACACATTTTGTGGGGTTAATGGGTTACCTCGCAATTATTGTGGTGTGAGCAGGTAAGGATGCTGTTCTTCCCCAAATCTTTCCTTACCTCACTGTACTTGCCACACCTTCTGGAACACACGTTTCCTCCAATTTTTTCCTGTATATGGTGTTACCTACCTTTGTAAAATGCATCTAGTCTTCACAATCCTCCAACTAGTTCAGCAGGGAACTCACTTAAAAGGCTGTTGTATTATGCAGAATATTTATCAGCTACAATGATGTTAGTTTAGTGCCATCTGCACATGGAAGTCATCTGAATTAATGCAAGCATGAGCCCCCCAAGAGTGAATGCTGTCATGGCTCTGTGTTACAACAGTGTTGGTTGACATCACTAAAGCTCAATACTTTGACCAGGGCTCTTGCTTCATATTATTGGTCGGTTGCTTGGTAACAGTACATAACTGTCCATCAGTACAGCATCCTCCCTGTGCATAGTGATGTCAACCAAACAATGACTCCACATTTCTGATATAATTCAGTTAGACACATTTTCGGACTATTTATAGTGACCTATACTCTATATGCTAGAGGGAAGAATTGCCGATATTATATGATGTTGGAGTTGAAGCAGTGCCTTAGATTGTCTGCATTCAAAAGTTTTAATACTCGATTCTTTTTTGGGTGATTTAGAAACACCCACGTAATGGCTTGTAGCTGGAGAATGCAGGGTACATTGACCACGGAATCCCAGCCTTTCAACCAACAACAACACACATACACACGCTCCACCCCAACCTCCCAACCTCCCACGCCATGTATAAAGATGGAGGAGGAGGAGGTGGAGGAGGCCGGGAGAGGTGAGTGGGAGAGAAGCAGTGGGTTCATCTGGTGACTGATTGCTGCAGGTGCCAAGACCCAGTAGCCCAGGATGGTAGTGAAATGAGTGGGAGCTGCCCTGGTATTTAGGAGTAGCCTTAACGAGATCATGGCTTCTGTGGTGTGTCTCAGTCTAATAATGGTGGTGAAACTGTGCATTTGTACTACAACATAGTGGAGAGATGTGAGGCCAGGCCAAGAAAGATGGGTGTGCCTATAGTCACTGCAGGTTATGGTTTGTTCTTTGGAGTTTTGTGCATCTTGTATATTATAATTCAGAGCTGACTTAGGCTAATTCAATGATCTTTTACGTTGGTGTGGGGGTGACTGTGTATTCCGAGTCTATAACTCAGTGCTCTTGTTGGCTCACTGTGTCCATTGAAGGTGACTTCAGTGCTCTTGAAATCCATTGTATAAGCTCACTGTACCTGAGGCTATTTCAAATTCTCTAGTAACGTACAAGTCTGCGATAATCTCAAGGTTCTGTTGTATGGGTCACTACGTACGTATATCTGATACCTTAGGCTCTTGTGTGTGTGTGTGTGTGTGTGTTTCCCGACACCCTCTCCAAGTTCATTACTGGCTACAAGTGAGCTCAAGAACCCGACAAAGCTCTGGCCACTCCAACCAATGATGGTCCTCTTACGTACAGCGGTCTCTCTCTCTCTCTAGCCAGCGTCTGTACATGCCTGTCCACTTGTGCGTAGTGCAAATATCTGAGTGGGATTAGGCAGATTAGGACAAGAATTTGCATGTGTACATGTGTGCATACATGCCATCAATATCATGTTTTTCTCCTATACACTACGTAGTATAGAGCTATGTAGTACGAATCGCCTTTCACAAACATTAAACTGTTTGAGACAATAACTTTTTCCACTAATCCCAACAAACTATTCATGCTACTTCATGTCCCCTGTATGGCAAGAGCTATTGGGACTGACATGTTTGTAAACTTCCGTGGCCCACATCACTCAGGAGACTGAGGATGTAGGGGGGATATTTTGCCTGGGATAACTTGGCACGCAGACCAAAGCTAAAGAGGTTGTGTACTAGCTGTACACAGAATGGTACCCTCTTCTGACCACTCGTCTCTGTATGTGGGGCTGTGTGTAAAGGACGTATGTATAGTGGTCCTCTCTAGATTGGCTTAGGCTGTTTTCAAACTTTGGTGTGTCTTATGCTTGCTGACGTTCAAAGAAGACTTTTAGTGTCCCTAGCCATTACTGTGTCTCATTTCCTTCCTTCTCCTCAGAACACTGTTTACTTCTCTATGTGCACTCCATTTCTATACACTTTTAAAAAAATGTTTGTGTACTTTTGCCTAACCTTTCCTACCACTATTCTCTCCCTCTCTCCCCTCCTTTGGTTCTGTCTCAATTCGTACTCCCCTTCCACCCTCCTTTCCTCTTTGCTCCCTCCCTCCCTCCCTCCCTCCCACAGCTACTGAGGCTGTCATCTCCCACCCGGACGAGATGGAGAACCTGGAGCAGTACGGTGTCCTGGCTGACTACCGTCGGAAGGACTCCCATCAGGTCAACCTGAGCGAGGGCCAGGTGGTCCACGTCATCGAGAAACACGACACCGGTGAGTCAATCGATACCCTACATTTTACACTCGGTTACCAACAGATGTAAGTAGACATACGGTGTGAAAGAGTATCTCGACTGATGGTATGTGTTTACCTAACCAGGTGCACGCGCTCCAAGCCCAAATCTGGGGCATTATTTTGTAAACTTATGGAATACAAGACACCTTAAAAACCACACACAACGTGTTGTTGTTGACTGTGTGAACTTGCAATGGTCTACTAATTGTGTATGTGGGTTTGCTCAAATTTCGGTGCTCTTGTGCTGTATAAACAATCTACCTGCAGAAGACCTTCTCCAGTTACCATACCATGTGCTAGGCCTATACCTAGCTCCAATGTATTATACACCTTACTAATGGTATCCATGGTGTAAACGCATTACGCAGGGTCTGTGTGTAAGCACTGCACTAAAAAAAGGTTGTTGGTGTCTCTGTATTAGCTCCTAATGCTGCGGCCTGTGGGTGGTTATGTCTGGAGCAGAGGAGAACAATAGAGACGACCATATACTGCACTGCCAGCTCTGCATGACGTCATCCACATACACAACAGTGACCCCTGAGCATTCTGACTATAGAAATACATTCCACATGGATCATGTGATGTCATGTGACTCTGCTTTTCCCTATAAGTAAATTAGGTGGGCCCCTGTCATCTTTGACCCCGATGAGAGGGATGTTGGCCGTAGACATAGCAGGCGTCTAACACGCTAATGGAATGTATTTTGTCTACTAATTTGATAAAATGAGTGATACGATTTGTGATACCACATTACCTTACTCTGGCTAGGTGGGAGTGATCTCTACAAGGCTAGACCACCACTCACAGGCTCTGTTATCATACAAGGCATCAGCATACTACATACGTACACATGTAACTACATGTAACAACAGTGGCCGTGTATATATTATACACGTACATGTAACAAGTAGAATAGCATTTTTTCATGTGTAAATGGCTTTGTGGAACCACATTTGCCAGGAGATGCACCGATTCACTTTGTCGTATGTTCTGCTATCTCTCTGGACTTTGGATGGTGTAAAAGTCCAAAGAGTTTAAACGACTCACTAACTCCCCACAGTTTACAACTTGGTGGCCTAATACGTACATGCGCCCGATACTCTAGACCCTGTCGCTATCCAAGATAATTACCCCAGTAGCCCAGTATTATACTAATACATCTCTTCCTGGAAGCAACTCCAACATGTGCTGCATATAAGCGTTCTGGTAACATGTCCATGTTCCTACATCATGAGTGAGTCCAGATGGACGCAGTATACAGTAGGTAGAGTGTTATCCCATCACTATTGGCACTGCTCCAGTCCTTTGGCTCCAGCCAGCTCCGGTACTACTCCCTACCGCAGTTTCCACGGAGACTCAAAAGAATGCTTTTTGGGGCCAATTAGCGCCATAGTTACGGGCACACCCTCTTCTGAGTCTGTTTCCTCTCGTGAGGACTGCTATAAAGACCCCAGACTCTAGCTTGCCAAGACTGTTTTCAAAAAACACATCAGTCAGTCAGTTACTATAGCTAGTCAGTCAGCAGACCTGCAAGAGTATAGCCTTTCATAATAGTGGCAGATAGAGCAATAGTCTCTCTGTGCTGGACTAGAGTTTCAGTTTCACAAGTGCAAAGATCTCTGGTGGACTAAACTGCAACCCCTCAAGCTAATACCTGTCTCAGAAGCTAACTCTGCAACAGCAAACTGCACTCCCTTTCCTGGAGACATCAAGATACACTGCCTTAGGAGCAGCATTGGTTGGATCACTGATTCATAAACTGCAGTAGACAGAGCTGCAGAGTCAGAGAAAGTATACCTTGGAGTAGCCTAGGTTTGCATCTAAGCAGAGAAGGACTTCCACTTTATGAATCTCTCCAGTTAGAAGTGTGCATGAGTGATAGCAATGAGTGTACTGGCCCTAACTCCACCAGCCATCAGTGACATGAGCAGACCAACGCCCACACCGGCTACACAGCCGCTCCATGAAAAGCGCAGCAGCCACCCGGGCAGGAAGGGCATCAGGAGGCTCACTCCGGCCCTACTATCCGTCCCGCGGATATCTCGCAAGCGTGCCACGGCCAAGGTCCCCGTGACTATCTCCCACTCTGCCGTATCTCTAGGCTGGTGGATGGTGATGTCGGACGACGAGCAGGGGTACGCCCCGGCAGCCTACCTGGAGCCGGTGGAGGGACTGAGGAAGCAGCACAATGTGGAGCAGCAGAGAATGGAGACTGAGAACAGCATATGTGAAGGTGGGCAAAGTACCCTAAAAATAATTATGGGGTTGTTTGGCATATTTTCCCACTAGCACTTTCAGCTGATACAAGCATAATGTGCTGTGATGACCACCAATTTCCAGTATTTTGTACTGCCAGTTTGAGAATGTAATGCCTGGGCAAAACTTACGGTTATACAGTGTACAGGGATCTTTATCTACTGTTGCCTCTACCTTTAGTGCGTTCAATATGCATGCTGTGTCGATGTGCCAGCCTCTACAAGCCGCTATTGTGCAGCCTTGAAAAGCTCTGAGTCGCGAGCATGTCAGGCGGGCTACGTAGATACCATTGATCGTTAATTACCCGTGTACAAGGGAAGGGTGGTTGGCAGTAGAGAGATGTAGCGGCCAATAATGATTGGCGTAAGTTGTGTACCAGTTAAAAACAACTAAGTCCCCGGCCTAAGTTATGAAGGTCAGATAGTAGTGAACATACTAAGCTGTGGCACAAGCATTCAGTCTACACCTCTTCCCCTTAGGCACATGCTTGTTGTTAGTTGGCTGGCTCTGCTGGTCTCTCTCACCATTCCTGTTTACACAGCACTTTCTACTTGCAGCCTGAGTGTATACACACGTATTATATTTTCTTTTACTGGCAGCATTTCACCTTAGGCTATTCCGCGACCTGTACAACAGCTGGGGGTAGATTATGATTAACGGCTCCTACTGCGTCTGCTGCGGCCATTTGGAGAAAGAAATTTGTAATCATACTTTAGCACGAAAATGAGGGTTCATTCCGGGCGTGTGGCAGGTAGCCATGCGGGAGGAAAGGAGTGGTTGCTCGTGGTATGCCGTGATCTATACACCCACAACCTCTCAGTACACCAGCGCAATAGTGGGAACACGTGGGGTAATGCACACAATTTGGAAGGCCACAATGAAAACTGAATTGCGTATTTCTTTCCTCTCTCTCTCTCTCTCTCTCTCTCAGAGTACGAGGCCATGGAGAGCTACAGTGCACAGAGTGAAGACGAAGTAACATTCAAGACTGGAGACACAATACAAGTCCTCAGCAAATCACTCGACGGCTGGTGGAAAATTAGGTATGTACATATAACTATAACAGAGATCTACTAGATATAGCTTCATTGCACATTTTGCATGCCAAAAAATGACAGCTGTAGCAGCAACTTGGCTCTTTAAGAGTAAAAGGTCTTGCTGTGAAATGAAGGGTGGTTTCCCAACAAGACAGGGCAGGTGCCAGACCAAATGATGCCACCTAGCAAAATTTCAGTTTGTACTTTCTGTTTGAGTCGTGTACCGATGATGCCGAGACATCAAAGACGCGTGTCTTTTCACATGTGCGTGCTGTGTAGTCTGCCAAGAGGGAGTCATATAGCTGGGGCAGGGATCGGAATGCCCACCTCTACCAGGTGGCACCTCTTTCACTCCACACACACAGAAGCCACGGTTTTGGATATGTGGCTCCTTCGGTTCACCTCTTTGTTTACAAGTTCGGGGAAAAATGATTGGGGAATTACGTGTGTGCCCTCATGGGCAGTTTGGCTTGCAGTACACACCTGCTCTAGCCTTCTCTTCCATTTATTTATTGGCGAGTGAAGCGAAGCTACCCAGTCGTCTAATTTGCGTGATTTTCCTATAATATCTTACGGCACTGTTAAATACCACAGTCTTTCTCGTTATTGTAAAACTGCTGAAATAGTTCACGTTCACCCACCTAAAATGCGTTGCATTCATCTCGTAGTTATTGTCATCATTGGCGAGCTGCATTGCTTGATGTACATCTCTCTCTCTCTCTCTCTCTCTGTGTTTCTCTCTCTACTCTCCTCTTCTTCCCTTTCTCTGCACATGAATAGGTGTAACAATAGAGTAGGTATGGCACCGTCTGCCCTTATAAGAAAGCCGATGGAAGTCCCACAAGTGCCGAGTGATGATGTAATATACGAGTCACACAAGTCAATCTACGAGGGACTCAATCTTCATAAGCCACCCCCAAGAAGGTCAGCGTCCACATTTTGGGTTTACTGTGTGGCTTTTCTCGGCCCCTTTGTGGTTACAGAATGCATAGTTTGCCAAATCTTAATGATGCCCTCCCTTTTTCAGTGTCCAACTGTACCCACGTACGTAATATGCACAATTGGTGTCTTTGGCTGAGTGCAATGTGCTTCTGATAGGAAGTTCCTAGTTTTACAATAACGGCTGTTTTATTGACCAAAACGTAGGATTTCAGCCTTTTATATCTCTGACTATTAATCCCCCCTCCATTAATTAAAACATAACGTCGTAACTATCGATCTTCCAAATGCAACTGTCAATCTGCCACATAAAAACTCACATGTCATCTTTAGGCATAGACAGCGATTAACATGCGTTCTCAACAAGAATGGTCTAGAATGATGCGGGATGGCAACAAGTACTATAATTAAGCCTACTAATTCCAGGGGCCCTTGCCTGGTGGGGGGAGGGGGCAAGGGTGAGTCTAAAGGAGTGGGAGAGAGAAAGATGCAGTTTCCCTACATGCTGCCTTCTATTGCCAGTGTGTGTAAACAGTTAATCAGTGATACAGCCCACAGAATCCTGCTCCCCTCTTTACCATCAAAGACTATATCTTGATTGATTACGTGACTCAAAGTAATACATGTCCAATAGTGTTGTCGATAATGTGGGGGGGAAGTGTTTCCTTGCCCCCCTTCTTTGGCAGACAAATTGCTGCCAAGAAAACAGGCTCTCCATTCCTTACTGCACAAACAACCTGTGTGTATGATAGAGACAGCAGAGAGCCTGAAATACTGCTCTCTGTCCAGATTTGCCCATCAGAATGTTTTGAAACACGCACACAGAGTACAAATACTGCACGAGGGAGAGTTGCACTGCTAATGTAATCCCATCACACACGACTGACTTGAAGGGGAAATTAAATTTCATTCCCATCTGTTAACTCTCGGATTTCCTGAGGATAAAAGGGTTATACTAATAGGTTCACGCGAACTGTTGGACCAGAGCTGGGGCATGAGGTTGTGAGGTCGGAAATAGAATCAATCATGGCAAGTGTGTCTCCAAGTCACTCTGACCTATATGGAAGATGATCATCACATTGTTATGTAGCCGGAGCAACATGCAGCAATATACACTAGTCTAGTCGGTAGAGTCTGCATATGGAGAAGGAAGGATATCCTCTTGAGTAACAGCCGAACTGTTAGAAACTACTCAATCTAAGTAATTGCAGCCATTGTACTTTGGTAGTTCCAATATTGTGTTGTGCATGTCCTTTTTGGATATGCTCCGGCTTATGTGTGGTGCAAAGGTCAATCACATGATGTAATGATTATTTCTCTCTCATTTCACAGTCATGATGTAATGACATATTTCTCTCCCATAGAAACACAATAGAACGGAACTACAGCCACCTCCCTCCCAAACAAGAGGTGTACGCAGTCCCTCGTCCCAACCCCCCATTGGTCAAAATGGCAACCGACCCCATCATCTCACACACCGGCGACGACAATATTGACCACGACTACATGGAGCCTCCGCTGGAGCTAACGAGCGAGGACGAGGAAGACCCTGGTTATTACCGGGTCCCACGATCCCTCCAGAGCAGCATGAGTGACACCACCTGCAACAAGTGGAACGGAAGCATCTACAGTCCTCCGCCGCCCAGTGAGGACTCCACCTCCATTGCCGGAGGCCAGCAGAGAGACTCGGGGAGCAGTGGGGGAGACCCTCCAATTTTCCCAGAGAGGGACGACGTCGGGGGAGGGATCTACGATGCGGTGCCCGAGGAGTCCTCTCATTACGAGATGGAGACGACAGGGGCTCCCGATTCAGCTGCACCGGTCTACCAGAACGCGGACGATGCCAGGGCTGAGGCTGAGGCATTCAAGAGCTCAAGGTCAAACAGCACAGAGCTACTGAATGTCACTGGTGGAGGTGGGCAGATTAGTAGTGGTCCAGTCTCACCCCTCACAGCCTCACCCCCTCCCCACTCTCACACTACTCCTTCAAGTGAACCACGTAAGACCCCCTAGCTACCCAACCACCACAACCTACCATCTGCGTATTGCACCAGTGTTAGTTAATCTTTTCCTGACTGTGTGGTTAAAAGTCTCATAAAGTGCCATAATCTGTGTATTGCTATGGGGACCTCTTAGCACGCTGCTGCTGTCATATGTCTGACTAAAGGCAGTGTGATTCTATAGTGGCCACCTATCCATTTACACATCCAATTACTCTCCCGATTTCTGGCTGAGAGCAGGAGTTACACAACACGCCGCTACACCTCACAAACAAAGAGTTTTCTTCAAACAGATTGATTCACTGAGCAACCAGGGCAGCTCGCAAACCGGGCTCAAATGTACAAAGGAAAACCCGTGCATGGTGGTCCGGGAAGCTGTCACTCAGTCTACATCCTAGTGTCCCTGTATTTACATACGTACATCCTTGTTGTCCCTGCAGATCAGGACGACGGGGACTATGTGGACATTGACCAACACGATGAGTATGTGGACCCAGGAGAGCTGATGGGTGGTGGAGAGAGCAGTGCTGGAGACTCCGTCCCTCCCACCAGCCCTTCCTTTGACCTCTTCAAACCCCTCCCAAGTGAGTCCGACCCATTTTTTTAAGTTCATTACTCTGTACAGCACAAAAACAGCACAGAGCTTTAGTTGTTCAAATCACTCTCGAACCTCTGATTTACAAAAGAAGTTTGTCGATATTATACAGAGTAGTATATTGTGTATATACCTTTGAGAAGTTGTTTCTCAGTTCCCAGTGTGCTAGCCCATGCATGCTGTTGACTTGAGAGAGCCCTGGCTGTGAAATATGGTGTCTGTCTCAGGCTCTTTCTGCTTTGAGATCCTGCTTACACTCACGATGAGATGTTGGATTAGTTAACCCCAGTAGCTTAATCAAAGGACAGTTAATGAAAGGGTATGTACAGTTCCTGGTACATCAAAAAGCCTCTTGAGACAGCTCAATGGGATGGGATGGGATGTAAGGAACTATACTCCACCCATTGTTGTAATGGGAATTAAGGAATTGCCAATCATCTATGGTGTGTTGTTAAACAATTCAAGTGAAACCACTTGTAAGGTGCAGTGAGAGCAGACTTCCTTGTGTCTCTCTCTCTAGCCAAGACACATGCTTTGCTGATGTGCTCACAACACCACAGGGACAGGGCGTGCTTGCAGCACAATACATATGTACACACCTGTATTCACATGAACCCACATGTTGCCATACATTATAAACCTAGCTACCAGTTTGAGGGCAGGGAGGCAAAAACACCCTGCTATCAGGATAATTCCTACGAAATCCAAGACCAAAAGGCTTAATACTGTTAGATAAGCAACTGGCATGGTATAGAGTAAGGCGCTAAGCTTTACAAAGTGCAGTCTCAACACAGGCAAAGAGGGAACTAAGTGAGAAGGGAAGAGAAAATCACCAAACGCTTTAACCACAACACAAGATTTCCCTGGTTCGGAAAGATTGCGTATTACGTACATACGTACCAAACTCACCCCCTGTTTGTACTAGTGCATTCGTTTGTGTTACAACACACCTCCACGTTGAAAAGAGGTGTTGTGGGACACTGCAAAAGCAAGCAAGACTCTAGCATAAACTGCCTCTTGCAGAGACCAAAGGAACGGACCAGATCATTGCATAGCTATCTGCTTGGTAGCCCAACCCTATTTAGTAGTAGGTGACACAACACTCTTCACAGAGGTGTCTCGCCACCCATTGTCTACTAGATGATAGAGCCATTGCCTACTGTTGTGCCTGCAGAATGTATTAGCAAACTAGTTTTCCCTTAGGGTTCATGGTGCAGGAAGGGCAGATCTAACGCAAGTATTCCCCCACCTGTCCTCAAAATTAAATCATCTATCATTATTAAACTCCTTTTCCTGTACCCTTCTCCTCCCCTCTTTCCCTCTCTCCTCTAGAGCCCCCACTGCCCACCTCTGACCCTCCCAAGAAGAAACCAGTGATGGCAAAGAGCAAGTCTCTGGGCATGGAGCTGTATGATGATGCAATGGAGGATGAGTACATCCCAATGGACCCCATATATACTGAGCCTCCTGTGGACGAGACTGAGCAGCCAGCTACACCCAGTGAGTGGGAGGGAGGGAGGGAGGAAGGAAGGGAGGGAGGGAGGGAGAAGAGTGAAGTAAAAATAGAGGAAGAAAGGGAGGGGAAGAAGTGGGCGGTAGAGGAAGGAAAGGGATAGAGAAAGGAAAATGTCTAGTGATATCAACAGTGGCATCCTATGACTAAGAAGATCATTCCCTGTTTGGTTCCACATATCTGCACTTTTTAGGTGAATGTATGTATATGTTGCAGTGCCCAGACAGGACAGCATGAGCCCTGTAAGGGTCCTGTCTGGGCACTGCAATATATTTGTTGGATATCCCTAGCAACCGACATGTATGAACCCACCTTACATCACACAGGAAAGTATAGACTCATAAAACTCCCCAGTACCTAGCTTCATACATGTCGGTTGCCTAGGGATATCCAACAAATAGGAATGCACCAGGATCAAGCGTTTTGCCACTTGTAATTAGTTGAACTCTCACTCCTACTCCTACTCTGACCGTCGGTATCCTTTGGTCTCGGTGCCGTATCCCAGGAAGACACACTTCCTCACTTTCGCATCGAGCGTCTTCCTCTCATCTTTAGCTACGTGCCAAAGGTTCGCAGGTGTCCAACATTCGGTTCTTCACCAACCCAAGCCTCGAATGGTGTCATTCCTTCGGATGCTCTCCATATTCGTCTACAAAGTACTATATACACATGAGCCAGTCTGCCAGTAGCCAAGGTAGCTTATGGTGTCTGCATGCCTGAGTGCGAGCTCATTAGATGAGGAAAGTGTTGGCACCTCTGATATACTGTGGCAGGATGGGGACCTCTTTGCACCTGGAGCCTAAATAGCTGTTAGTTTGTGCAACATGTTACGTATGTGATTGCTACACGTGCCAAACCATCGGTATGAAAACGCTTGTTAATCAAATGAGATTACGTAAAGGCTATACATACAGTTGCTTGAGAATAGAATGCTCACCTGCGGTATTCCTTGAAAGGGCATTTCCGTGGAAGGTTTCTGACCCTAATTTTGTAACGACACTTTCAAGTGCATGGTTCGTGAATGACTAAAGACTCTCCTTCCCCTCAGATCCAGCACCGAGCCAACCACAACAACAACAACACCAGAAACAGCAGAAGCAGTCAAAGACCCCTGCCCCATCCACTCCTTCCTCCACCTCCTCCTCCTCCTCCTCCGCCTTCTTTGCCTCCTCTCCCTCCCCCGCTGGAGGGAAAACCAAGAAAGGCTACTCGAAGATCAAAGTGGCAAGAGACAAAGTCCAGATATCTAGCCCCGTCTTAGTGGAGATGAACAGTGTGGGTCTCTCCAAGGCCAAGAGTCTGGAGGACCTCCTGTCAGCAGCCAGCAGTCGTGAATCATCTCCTCAGAGGCACGGGAGTCCTCACAGCGAGAGGAAGGCCAGCCCGGCCCGGTTCCCCATCCTCCCTCCACTCCCAGTTCCTCCCGGGGGGAAAGGGAAGGACGCGGAAACCCCACGAACTGGCAACAGCGGCGTCGTAAAACGGAAACTGGGGAAGGTAAAGTCGGCGGGGAAGGTGGGAGGGAAGAGAGCGTCGGAGACTCCGTTGGTTAGCGGAGTACCCCACCACATCCTGACTCAGTCCAGTTCCCCGCCGCGCGACCCCTCCCCAGAGCACCGCGGGGTGACCCACACCACCTCCGTACCCACCCCTCCCCCGTTCCCCCCACCTCCCACCACCGGCGGGAGAAAACACTCAAAGGACTCGACAAACAGCGGTCACCACCTAAGGACGTACGTGGCACTCACCAGCTACCAGAGCAGTGTGAACGGGTCCCTCAGTTTCCAGGCGGGTGACAAGTGTGTGCTACGGAGGAAGACGCCAGATGGTTGGTGGCTGGTCAACATTGGAGGCAGAGAGGGATGGACTCCCGAGGTCTACTGGAAAGAGGAGGCTTGGGTAAGAATTACCTACCTATTATGTACGTATGTACAGGTGTGTACTGTAGGGCAAGGAGTCGAATATTTGAGGGAGAAAATTTGTGAGTTCGTAGACCAGATTGTTTTTCCCACTCCAGAAATGCCAGCCCCTGACAAAATTAAATGGAAAAAACCATCGCAGTGACTCTTGCACTTGATATGTTTTCTCTCAGAATGCGGTATTAAAGCTGTGAGAAGATTGCCTATTAGTATATGGGGCATAAGGAAAAGGTTCATGGGTTGATTCAGTCACGGGCAGGAGTGTAGAGGGTTTCTTTACTTGTGACTGCACGTTTTCCTGTGATTGGGGGACTTTCAGTCACTAGGCTGTGTGGGTTCTGTGTCACGAAACCTCAAGTCGTGTGTTTTGTCTTGGCTTTTTCCGTGTATTATACCAGGTTATGCAATGGTGTAAATCAGAGTTCTCGACCCAAACAGTCAATCCTAGCAAGACCATGACAAACGTTATGCCTATAATATGCATAAAAAGGTTTACCCAGTTTCTTGTCCTTGGTTCACTGCCAGTACTCACAGACACCACTATCAGTAGCTCTCCGCTTGGCCAATGTATAGAGTATTGCACTGCACTGCACTGCACAGTATGTGAAGACCATCTTGAATAAGTGTAGGTGTAGATTGCTGGGGCTCTGTTGATGTGTGCTGAAGTATAGAGTCAATGGTTTCAGAAGGGGACTGCCATCATGTCCAACAACAACCCTCACATGGAACACGCATGAAGCTGTGTACATAGTTTAAGCCAAGTTAGACTTGTATGGCAGAGGAGTGTTAATGCATTGGAAGCGGCATACTACGGCAGAGTATAAATAAACGCTCACAGTAGACAGTTGCAGCAAAACCAACAGTAGTAGAGAGAGTGGCGGCAGAATGCTGTGCGGGGCAGTTTTCCAAAGAGATAAAAGACAGAGAGACAAGCTTCCCCAAGCCCCTGACAGAGTATGTTACATACCTATCTTCATAGGTAGAAGTGTCTGGTTTGTTATAGAAGAACTTTCACAGCCAGTTCCCTTTGTGGGTTCCCCCCCACAGAGGAAACTGGTGATTGCTAGACAACCTGGCACAGGTGGGAGCACAATAATTCATGCCATACTGTAGATTAGGTGGGGTAGCCTACACATCCTGTCCAATTACCATCACTGTGTGCAGAGGATATGAGGTACGTAAGTAGCTAATGCAGGCAAGCATAAAAGCTTTCAATGCCCACTCACTCACTCAGTCAGAAAGTCAAGCAGTAGGCAGTGTGTTTGAGCTATATTATCGAAGGTGAATTACATAGCTCTATAGCCAAGGGATGGCCAAAGGCAAGACTTTGGAAAGGATAACCAGATGTGTGAAGAGAGTGGCAGACAAGTGCAGAAGAAAGGTAGAGTCAGCACTAAATGAGCAGTTATGATGGTCCACTGTACTAATGGTTTGCTTGCTACAGCTCATTGTTGCATGTCACCTTGTATGAGTGAAAGAGTGTACTGCATGATGTATCAGTATAATGGCTGCTTCCCAGTGTTATATAATACCCCCTCGCCCTCCTTCGCCCACCACCTTACAGACCCAGACCACCACGATAGCTCGACCCCCAGGCCCTCCCCCCACTGTCCCTCCTCTCCTCCCGCCGGAGAGAAAACCTCGCAGCCACACAGTCGACGCCATCGGCGGGGGTCTGCCCCTGGTCGTTTCCCGGCAGCTGGAGCTGAGCTCGAGTATGGAGGGCAGTCTGGAGGCCAGCAGTCAGTCGAGCTGGGGTGGCAGTATCGAGGAGGAGACCACACCAAGAGGAGACACAGCTGAGACGAGCAGGAAAACAACTCCCCCTCCACCTCCACCGCAGAACACCAAACCTGGCCGGAGAGAGCCGCCACTACCCAAACCAAAACCAGGCACCGGTAGGTACTGCACATATTGAGACCTTGCCTCTATAGATTGTGTACTGTGAGATACTATGGGATATAGAGGCAAAGCCTGTACGATGGGAAACAGAACCCTGTAGCCTGCCTTTGTGTGTAAAGCTCCCCTCATCCTGTTACACTGCATGTGTGTGTATCACTGAAAGAATCCTTTATTCAGAGCCTTCTGTTGAACGGCACTCACACACACAGCCTCTTATACTTATGCAATACCTCTTTTATACACTGACACAATACACTGACATTATACACACCCCTCTGCTAACACAGGTAACCCACAAAGAAAGAAGGGCGATAGAAAACCGCCCGTGCCTCACAAACCAACCAACATCTCGTCTGCGGGGCCCGGACCCCGAACGACCCCTCGGGCCACTTCTCCACAGAGCTGCTCCTCCTCGTCCTCTCCTCCCCTCCCGCGACGCCGCAGCGAGGACACGCCCTCCCCTCCCCCTCCCCCCGCCCCTTACTTATCTCAAAACCAACGAAGACTCAACGCTGTCCAGATGGCAAATGGTGGAGACACCGCTACCACCAGTAATGCCCACAGCGAGTACGTGATGCTGGAAAACGCCCGGACCTTAGACCCACTCGGTGAGTGAGTGCCCATCACTTTCACTGGGTTTGGATGTATTAGAGTGTTGTGGGTGGCCCTATTATGTAATTGATACAAATACAGCACTGCAGTACTGATAAGTCCTAATTGTTTGGCTGGACCACCACCAACACAGCACCACTAATGCATGCAGTGTACGTAGCTCTGACGTAGACCATGTATAGTAGGCCCTGCTGTTCCCACAGTACTATATTAGCATTAGTATTCTGTCCCCCAGTCTTATAGGGTGTTTGTTGGTAAGTGGCAGGTCACACTGATTTCTGTCGACTCCTTTTGCAGACGGTTATAGTCAGGCACAGGCCTTTTCAGAGCATGTACTGCGTGATGTATTGTGCGGTGGGCCGGCCTGGCAAAGCTTCCTATTCCATGTGGAGCCATACATACTTGGCAGCTGGAATGCCAAGCGTGCGTGGCAACCCCACCATGCAGTAGTGCATGTAGAGTCTGAATAAACAGGGCCTGCATGACAACCAGCTTCCAGTTCTGTAGCTGCTGGTACATGGTGACAGCAACTTTGAGTTCTATAGCAGTCAACTATAGCTCTTTGAAAACAGCGACTTGTGCAATAAAGCTCTTAGAATAAGCTACCATAGCAACTTTTTGAGTGACTTCAATAGCTATTAGTAGGCTGGCTTATTGCTGTATGTGCAGCAGCTGGCTTGCCAGATCAGTCACTCAGTGTGTGCAGTACACAGAGCTACATCGTGATGTCTGTCTCGTCTAATGTCCCCCTAGAGTCATCTCCATGGTTCGTGGGCAAGATGGAGAGAGTCAGTGCTGAGCAGTTCCTCATGGAGGTGAGAGATAAGTAATACCAGCTATTGATGAAGGATGGATGTACATGATGTTGTGTGTATACAAGAGAGGATGGGTAGAAACAATAACCGGAGGTAGCATTTTCCCAGTGAGTGGTTGTGTTGAGTCTGGCCAGGAATAACAGCAGTCATTGGAGACTCAACAGGTCATGCATTGGCAGGATGAGTAGAGGGCCAGGCCTGGTTTGGTTCTAAGTGTGTGGGAGCGTACTTAGCATTAGCTTATGTGCCCAGATCAAGCTAATGGACTTTTTGCCAGCCTGGATCCCAGCCAGCTTTGATACCTCCTGTCAGTCAGAGAGAGAGCATTCATGCTATTTGCGAGAGGCCTACTAATACCGGCATTGTATTCAGACCCAACTGGCTTCAATTGCTCAGTGCATAGATCTTCACTAGGGGTGTAGCATTACACAATAGAGAATGGTCTTCCTAATCTAGAGAGTGAGCCCCTAAATTAGCTTTACACTCTCTCTCTCCTCCCCTATACAGCATGGCAGACAGAGAGAGTTTCTGGTCAGAGAGAGAACTGCAAAAGATGGATACTATGCCCTCTCCATTCGATACCACTACAGGTATGCAGTACATACATACTACCTTCAGTTCTTTACGAAGAGTAATCTCTCCTGTAGTGATTACAGGCTTTTCTGAGCTGACACATGAGCCTTGTGAGAGCATAAAAGTTCAACCACTGTTTTTGTAACCACACCTAGAGGTTGACTTAGCTATCATTCCTGAAAGCAACTGCGAGAGTAGTATAACCTACCTCCAGCATGATAATGAACATTGTTGTTTTACATAATCTCTCCCTCCCTCCCAACCACAGTTGCAAGCACTTCAACATAGACCCGACGGAACAGGGCCAGTACATGATAGGCACCCTGACGTTTCCCGCCATCTCAGACATCATTCACCACTTCCAGAACAACTCCCTCTTCATACACGAGAACCAACACGTGACTCTATCCACCCCGGCTCGCCGGAGAACGCGAGGTGCCTCAGACATTCGCGCACACTCGTGATCCACGTCACTTTTCAACCCTCTGTTTGTACCATTATTATACCGTTGTTTGGAGTTAGCATTTTCCCCCTCTATTTGTCACTATCTGTTATAGAGTCGTCTTGACGTATATATATATATATATACACCTGTTGTGAATCTCTCTGTTGTAAACTCTTTGTGTGCACAAAAATTATTGAGAATCTGTATAAATCTTTGTCTCATGAATAAAGGCGAACAAGTTCACTAATGGCACCAACGTGTAAGAATGCAAGGCAGTGAATGAAGAAATATGTTAGCTATTTTTGTTATTAGGACAGTGTTTCAGTATACCAGTATGCATTGTTTAGTATATAGACATGCTTATTGCACCATGCAAATTTGACAACATTACAGGTCAAACCTTATGGCTGGAAGACATGCTTGCAACCTGTTAATGTCATGCACAGAGCATGCTGCATTACACGTAATCGTAGGTACTTGCGCATATATACACCTACATAGGTAGAAAATATTATACCTACTTACATGTAGGTCACAAAAATAATCTAACAAAGTGTTGTGGAGATATAGTACTACAACAGTAATCGCAGTTATCCATCGATACATTTCTTACGTTCAGAGTTGACAACATTGGTGATGGTGCAGATAGTCTCTCGGAGACACTGGGAGTCACATGACCGGTCATGTGAGCTGCTCTGGCCGTACTTGTTGTAGCGGTACTCTGACACCAGGTCAGGGAACTGGGAGAACCTGAAATGAACAGGGTTTACCTCCAATCACGGACTTTATGGCCAAATCATGCACAGGGTTGCTCGGTAGCCATACTCACAACATTTCATTACATTTTGTGCGCATTTGTGTAGCCATCATTTGCAGTGCAAATCTAATGTGAGTTTCCAGTGACCTAACACACTACTTACTGTGATGTTAATAAGACAATCCAATAAGGCCGTGTACGATTATGCATTTGTTGTAGAGTCACGAGTGAAAAAAAGACAAACCAACCATCATTAATACTTTGGCCACGGCTGGAGTATGGAATAACATCCTCTATCATGCTGCATCTATCCCTATCTCGCCCAAATTTCTCTGTCCCCCCTAAATAAAGGTGTCAACGATTTCGCATTTTTTTGTAGGCACAAGAGTGGAAAAGAGACAAACAAACTATCCTTAATACTTTGACTAGTGTTGGAGTATGGAATGGTAACATCTTCTATCTTGCTGCACCTATCCCTATCTCGCCCAAATTTCTCTGTCCCCCCTAAATAAAGGTGTCAACGATTTCGCATTTTTTGTAGGCACAAGAATGGAAGAAGAGACAAACAAACTATCCTTACTACTCTGACTAGTGTTGGAGTATGGAATGGTAACAACTTACTGCACCTATCCCTATCTCCCCCAAATTTCTTTGCCCCCCCCCCCCTAAATCAAGGTGTCAACAATTTCGCATTTGTTGTAGGCACAAGAGTGGACGAAGAGACAAAACAACTATCCTTAATACTTTAACTACAGTTGGAGTATGGAATGGTAACATCTATCGCTGCACCTATCGTGGTTAAATGCCTCATGAAAACATAGCCCATACAGTACGTACCTCTCGACTAGAGAGGCCCACGAGGAGGGAGAGAGGTCAGGGAGATGGTAAAGGTCTGACGTACTGTACGCCAACTCCATCTTCGGCTTGACTCCTCTACCTGCTTGTTCTGGTGACAGATACAAATAGAGAGGACAAGGATAAAATGTGCTTACACCCTACACTACGTATGTACACATGTTGTTCAAGGGTTCACCTTGTGGTGTATATGGTTAGTATTCTGAGCTCTCTCTGCTAAGATGTAGGATATTGCTCTGTCATAACCCGTGTCGGTGTGTGTGTGTGTGTGTGTGTAAGCTGGGTTCACAATACATTGCTATGCGAGGCGGTGCCTCCTCGTTTGGACTGTCGCGCGACATACATTCGCAAATGGCCACACCGCGTCGCATAGCAATGCGACGTATTGTGAACCCAGCTTTACACAAATTATAAAAAAATGCGCAAATAGTCTATTCAGAAATGAACAAAGCTTTTGAAATGGCTTCTTATAATGGATTACTTGGCACAAAAGTGAGATTTCGATCCAGATGTATAAAGCATCAAAAGCCTGCTAAATCTACACTCCTAAAGAAACATGGTGACAAGCTACGTGATCTACGGTCATGAGGCGCCTTTCTGTGCTAAAATACCACCACTCTGGTGTATTTTTGTGGTACGGTAAGGTTTATATGGGCAAAGGTACACGTGACAGAACCCAGGAAGACGGGTTACAACAACCTCACCCCTCCAGTTTCCCTGAGAGAAATGGGGAAGCTGGAATGTTACAAACCTAGACACTGTTGGCGGTTCATTTCACTGTAGACAAACACATCCATATGTACTACGTACTCATTTTGCACTTGTGCCACTTTTGCTGAGGGACACGACAATAGAGCTGGGGAGGTGCACATTGTGGTCAACAGCATCCGAGTCACGTGAAGTAACATGAGAGATACCATGACCCCCCTCGTGAAGTAACATGCAAGATACCGTGACCCCCTTGTTATTTAGGAGGAGAATAGGAGAGTGAGGCTTACCATTGGCGAGGGTTAGTTGAGATGGAACTGCTGGTAGTCCAGGAGGAGGTAGGAGGAAGGGTCCACTGGTGAAGAGTCTGAAGGAGGGATTGCTGCGGCCTCGAGGAGTCACCGAGGGAGACACCAGCACTGTTCCATACACCCCCTCCTGGTCCTGGATCTAACACATCACCAACAGAGCTAACTTAAGTATATACCACACATATTCCGTTCAAGTATGATTAATAATGGATTCTCGATTCCCTCTTTTTCATTCTCACGTGCATGTAGGATACTAGCTATGTAAAACGCAGTTCACAGAGTTCTGACAATAGAATTTCTAAATCACTATTATACATGTATAACATCACACAGGGAGGGTGGAAAGCCAGTGAAAAAGAGAACGTGCATTAAAATTGTACGATGTAGGCTTTCCTCAAAAGTGCAGTCCAGTTAGACTCCAGTAGAATGTGTATAAAGTGGAGTGAAACTCTTTCCCTACAACACACCCTGCCAGTTTGCCTTTCTATTCAGAGAGGAAAGGTTTATGCTCCACCATAGTAGGCCATTTCCAGGAATGGCTGTTAGCAAGGGAAGTCTGTGCATGTGTCCATTGGTGTGAACTAAGTGCTTCATTTGATAGGAATACTGTTTACTGTCACTGGAAATGATCTATGTTATACACACTTTCAACTTCTGCAAGTAACAGTTAGTCTAGGGGCATATGACGGAAGTGCATATGACGGAAAACCTGTTTTTCCAAGTACTAAGGGTGAATATTGCTGGATATAGTAGGGTTTAAATTAATTACCGAGTACGTCAGCCCCATGCACAGTTCTCAAGTCAACTCTTCGTGAAAAATGACCAAAAATATTTATGTTTAGCGGTGATTTATACAAACTCACCAATTTGAACTCGTCATGGTGGGTGTGGCCAAAGAGGTGTCCCACAATGGTGTCACGGAAACGCTTGGTGAGGTTCAAATAGAACTCATCGTATTCACGAAGAGTATTGCCAGGGTCACCAGGAGGAATGTGGGCTATCATCACAACCTGTGGGGATAACAATGTTCCTGTAACACTGCATTGCAGTGTCTCAAACTCGAGGTCATCATAATCATACATGAGGCAACCTATGTGTAAGTTGCTCTATGCATGATATAGTCCGACACCTGCCGATCAAGCAAGTGAGAACAGTGGATAAGCCAATGTCCTGATGTGACTTGACTATTGAGGCATAAAGTATTCTTCTGTGTTGAAGCTGACATAGTTTAGCATGGATTGCCACTGGCAGCCATTTGAAACAAAACTTAACTGTGCATGTGTTAAATATTCTCAATTGATGTGCAGACATGCAAACTTTGTGTAGGCTCACCTTCTCCCCTGCCTTCTCGGCCAGTTCCAGAGTGTCAGTGATCCAGGTCTGCTGTCTGGCCACATTTGGGTTCTGGCCATTCAGGAGAGTGTACAGATTGAGAAAATACCTGAACACAACACAGGATTAACGTTATGCGGAGCTACATTTACAGGGTGATTTGCTATGTATGTCAATTGTAGGAAAAAAGTTAAATGTAGGGTCAAGCAATACCAAGGATGCAAAAAAATGAGGACTGTTAGTTGACATGTCGACCTGACCCGTAGTCAGAGTTGAAGGAGACCAGTCTGAGGCCATCACTGATGAGGAGGGTATAGTAGCCGCCCTCTGCAATGGTCTCCACTGCCGACTGCGGCAGAGTGGCCCCCTTCTGCCAGTACTCAGCCATCCTCTTAGTCAGCTCCTGGTAGAATACATACATGACTATGATTGGTGGAGCTTCAGTGGAGAGGATCTTTGCCTCATGGGACTAATAGTGGAAAGATGCAGTTTCGTGAATTTTCGCAGTTTATAAGCTGTTGGTGAAAGTTTTTTCTCTGCAGAATTTGTGGGCAGAGAAATGTCTTGAAAGACGACAGCAATGCATTTCACCAGGGAGTTTTCTCCCAAGAAAGGTTCCCGCCATACTGTATGTATATACAACTGCTGGAAAACAATGTGCATACCTGATACTGTGGCAGTGTTCCAATATATTCACTCTCTGGGTAAGATTCTGTATAATCAGAGTGTAAAAGAGAGTGCTGTAAATTGTAATTGTGTGCACTTGTCTAGGAGTCTCAGTCCAATCAGTTCATCGTAGTTACAAAGTGGCCTCGGACCTAATGGGTTTTCTGGCCTTTGAGTACATACTATTTGTGTTACACCAAATGGGGGAGCAACCATTTGGGCTGCAAGGCTGTATACTGAAACTTACAAATTCACTAAGCCAGCAGCCTACCATGGTTCCCAAGAGCTGGATAGATGGGAGTGTGGGGCAGTTTCTCAGCCAGATAAGAGACGAGGTAGTCGGTAGCCTCGAACTGCGAGGCCCACGTCTCATTCCACAGATCATGAGGCGAGTTGTCCCCTACACAACCCACAACACACCCTCATCATGAATGGAACACGACTGGACTCTCTGTGCTCAGCTGAGAATACACAGTAATGTTTTTTGCGGGCTGCAATAGCGGTAGCGGGAGATGTAGCTACGTATGCATATCCTGATCAACAGGCCTTCCCTGATAGAGTTCTGTCACATGGGGATGCTATTGAGTTTTCGTTTTTTTCACTGGTATATACAAAAATTGCATCTTTGAGAATAAGGGTACAACGTAACCATTGATTGAGTCAAAGGTCAGGGGGCAAGGCCCCTCCCCCCAGGAAAACCTTATGCATGGTAGATGTATAGAGTGTGTAATGAGAGACCTGTATAGATGATGAAGTCAGGCTGTGGATCCAGAGAGGCAATAGTCTCCACCACCACATCCAGTGTCACCAGAGGTAAGTCACACTTGTAGTTCCCATAGTGACCTGCTGGGGCCTAGAGATATTCATGTTATGACAGAGACAAGCCACAAGACCAACATCACAAGACCAACATCACAAATGGAGCCCAATTCACTCAAGCTACAAACCATACAACAGAGTAAAAGCAATTCTGCATTGTGAACAGTGGCAAAGATACATACAATTTTTCTGGAAATATGATGAAAAGCAAACACTCAGCGCACTGTGCATGACTGGTACAGCCAACAATCAAGAGTGTGAGTCCTTATCCATCAGACCACACCCAATATTTGAATGGGGAAAGTTCAATATGGTACACTTCTATCTCCTAGCACTGTTTGATGGTAATACACACACAAACAAGTACTTTAAAGGGAATGTGGCAGTATAATTATTATAAAGGCTAAATTTATAAATGTTACTAAAGATAGAACAAAACAATAGGGCACAGTGAAAGAATGCAATTGAGTTCTGTTTTAGTAACATTTCTAATTTAGACCTTTTGTGCTGTCACATTCCCCTTAAACTTCAACATGTATATATGAACATGCAGACTTCAGTCTAAATTTCATGGTTACTACGACGAAAGCCTATACACCACAGCTATGCCAGGCGAGTAGGAATAGGTGGATGCGATTCCAAGTGAGTAGGAGAATATCAACTACTTACAGTTCCGTTGTACCAGCTCCTACAGCAGAGGTAGAGGTTGCACAGACTTGGTGATCCCTGTACCAGACAAATATCAATCACAGAGCGTTTATAGCGTGTTCCAAACACACAATTATAGCTGCACCTCAGAATATTGCCTGTCCAGATGGATGTCTGATAAATGGAGAAACATAATCACATCTTCGCTCCTACTAACACCTTCTCTGCCAGCTCCAGTGGGCCGCTGTATGCTCTCTCTTCTTCTTCGCCTTGAGAATGGCTGTGCCCTTGTTCCCGTAGTATTTGCAGAACTCAGTACATTACGGCTAGAGCCAGTCGACACACTATGTGTCTCCGAGGATTGTTTCAAGAGGGAGGGGGAGAGGAGGGGGAGGGTGTGAGTAGGTTCTTGTGTCTCGTTGCAGAGGCGAACAAACTGACAGAGTTCCAACGGGTCTAGGGTTCGCTCAGCTAGCACATAGAACAGCTGTGTGAGTGAATTTAGAGAGACTGAATGTAAAACAGCTGTGGAATGTAGGAAAGTAAAACTAATTAAGACGAAAGATAAACTTTCAGTCTAGAAACACACAGATGAGGAATGCAGACTTACGCTGCAATCATAATTAAATGTAACATATTGGGAAACCTTTGCTACTGTAGACATGCACAAAATGTGAATGCAATGAGACTGAGCTGACCACAGGTCCATAGGAGTGAATCACCCCGGGACACATGTAGGGACCATAGTAGCCAAAACTCTGGTTCAGGAAGAAGACACAGAGCGGCTCCAGGACCGGGAACATGTCGTCCACTGAGCCTCCCTCCTCCAGGTACTCTTGAATCAAAGCCACCGCTGCCTGCAGTACGGCCCGAGTGGGGTAAAATGAGGACGGTCTGTAGCTAGTAAGGATGATCATACTTCGCAGAGATGACAGAGTATCTCGCTGCTGTCGGCCGCTCCGACGCCTTTTTGCAGTAGGATCTCCAGTCTCTGATGCCTCTGGTCCAGAGGACGACTGCTGCATGGCGGCAGGAGGCTCGTCAGAGATACGGCCACAGTTAGTAGCTGCACAACCCTCGCCGCCATCGTAAACACGTGCGCATGCGCATAAACAAAATAGACTGTCGTCCGTCTCGTTTTATACACTTGCATCCTGTAAAAAGAATGTGTGATTTTTGGTCAGCATACGGCAGGAATGAAGTTAATTGTGAAGAGAGAAAACGATGATGGTTTGTACGTATGGGGTCATAAGTAGTCATCAAATCGGTAATCTTCATCTGAGTCTGTGGAAAATGAAAGGCAAGTTAAGAGCAGGTAAATGATAAATCAGTTGGGGAACATACTGTATCGAGCCTGTCTGTGTCTGTATCCCCCACAGTCGTCCAGCTCAGAATCTGAAGTGTGAGTAGATCCCTCTTCGTCGGGATAATCATTTCGCCAGTTGTCTTCATCTGTAGAATTCATGGCAACGTCACGGTTGAGCTTGGAGTCTGAGCCCAGTTTTACATATATACAATACAGCATATCTTCCCTTGTTTACAACATGGTAAGCCTAATTACTCCCCCTTCAGTCTCTGCCCCTACCATTAGAGTCATCTTCATCATCACACGCCTCCTCCATGTCGTCAATGATGTCATGGACTAGCTCAGGCTCATACACTGACAGTGAGCTCCAGTCACTGCATAATTAGTATACACAAGTAGATACATGCATACATTCAACAGCCAAGTTGGAAGTTGAAGGAATATTTGTGGCTAAGGATTTCAGTTCGGTTCCAGGTATTATATATCATAAAAGCTCCAGTAACTTTTGTCAAAGATTAGCTAAAACAAATTATATGGTATACACCATAAACTATCGAGAGACATGCAGGAAAGAGACTTACAATGTTGCTGCTTCCATGTTCAACAGTCGTGGCTCTTGGGTACAGTACAAGTCATACACATAGCCTGAAACATACAATATCAGAGTGAATTCTGAGCTGCATTAATTCTATGCTGCACCAGATTTTTTGTGCTCCGTTTTCTCTCTGAGCATTACTGAACCATTGCAGGTAACGGCTCCAGTCGCCCCTGACAACCTGCAGCTAATATATAGATGATAGGACTAATATAGTTGGAGGCTCAGTGGGACAAACATAGGTGGCAAATATGTTTTTGTGGAAAAAAGGTATAATATATAGTTAGGAAGGATGAACTGTATGAACTACAGTCTGAAAGAAGCAGTGATCTTGAGCTTGTAGCCACATACCAATCCTCGACAGCGGAATCGTCTTGATGGACATCACAGATGTGTATCTCCACCCCAGTAGGTCCACTGGCAGCAGTAGCAGCAGCAGCTGTAGCTGTAGCCACTCTCTCTCCATCACCAGTGACTGGAGAGCAACTGTCACCTCCTCCACTAGAGCCACACTCCTCTTGGAGACACCTCAACTGAGACGTGACTTTGAAACGCTGTGCAGAAGACTTTGCCTGAAGGAGAAGAGAGTCAAAAAGTTTCCACCCAAATCATGAAATCCATGCATGTGTCAACCACGAGGTAAAAGCAAAGCAAAGGCAAACAAATCAACTGCACTCAGGACAACACTTTGCATGCAAACTTGCGTAAAAATTGTGCAAGTACCAAAGGAGAAATTTTTCATAGGTATACCATGGGCATTACGTATGTACTGTAGTACATAATATGTATATATGTGCTTTGGCTAAGCTGGAACAGACCTTTGTCGTATCTCTGGTCTGGGTTTTGGTGTCCTCGAGAGTGAGTCTGGCGAAAGGGTTTGACTTGACACAGTCTGAGCGATCTCTGTAGTGTTTGAGTCTATCCTATGTGTGCGAGACAGATTTGTAGGTGGAATTAGGACGCTATGGAGCTTACCAGTATCACCCCATCACTGGCGTCTTCTCTGAGAGTCCCAACGAAATGGAACACACTAGTACCAGTGTCAAGTTTATTGTGTTTCGCTACAACTGTGAAGAAGCATTGAAAAAAGTAGAGCATAGACGTCCATGATAAGAATACACACACCTAGAGCCTCAGCGGGGTCCTCCTCCCTCTTTCTCTTCACTCGGAGCACTACACAGCCAGAGGCTTGCTTGCTAACACTGGTAGGAAGAGACATCTGTAAAAAGGGGCAAAGGTCAAGTCCGTTCCAATTAAACGAAACCCGTCCTCCATTTTTTGAAATTGTTTTCCCACGAATGTGTTAGCTTTTTGGCTTAGGGAGATATCTTTGGCTCCTCCATGGCCGAGTGGCACGTCTCTGAGAGCGAGTCGGAAGGGGATGGAGTGGGTGATGGCGGCATAGAGCTGGGGAGCTTGCGCATCCCGCCTCACCGCGTGGCGGAGCTGCTCAAAACCATAGAGTCGAGGAATACGCTGGACCTGGAATGTTTGGCTGGAGCGGCGGCCGAGTCGGCGTCAGAGGAGCGGAGACGAGAGAGACGGAGAAGGCACAAGAAGCGGAAGAAGAAGAGCGATACATCGGGGGAGGCAGGTGACTCGAGAACCCAAGAGGAAGTCAGTGAGACAGCGTCTGAGATGAGAAGCACTCCATCCACTGACACCACAGCAAGAGACGGAAAATGGTTAGTTATGTACATGGTACTCACATCTCATACCAGAGAATATTGTACAGGAATGCAACTGAGAAGTTAGCCAACACGATATTATGTGTATGCATATAGGCTGAAACATTCATTTGCCAGCTAATATGGATGGAATGTGATTATAGCAGAGTATTTTACCCCCACTAGCTCTTTAGAGTGCAGTGTTTTTGTATCACAGTCTAAACTGTAGCAGGCTGTGTTACGTCTGTAACAGACCACAAGCTATTTATATCCGTGATGCATTTGTAGGAACAACGTTTCTCAATTTGACTACTTCCACGAAGACTCGACTGGGTCTGATCTCACTCTGCATAAGAGACTGAAGAAACTGCCTCCAGGTATATACAGCTATAGCTTTTTCATTCCTGCTTTATATTTTCTTTCATGTGTGCCTGCACTCAGGCGAAGAGTTTGATCCCAAACTAAAATTTTACCCTGACGAAAACATACGGTATCCAGTCCAGTGTGTTGCCCGCGGTTCCTATCCCACGGCTGATTTGAATAGGGCAGTGGGTTTATGACAATCACGAATACGATAACCCTTTACAGCGGGCGAAGATAAAATGTTACTGCAATCCCAGCATTTGACACTAATAATCATGTATATATCCATCGATGCCAGTCATCATCAGGTGACAACTAACAGTTAAACAATTGCACATTAGTGTGTGATGTATAATGCATGCGTGTGTTGCAGGATGCGAGGTAGGAAGCTGGCCAGTCTGGCCAGATGGGCCGACTGCGAAGCAGCAGAAAGAGCGGCAGCAGCACACAGCAGCGAATGTGCAGACCTCACCTCCCGAAAGCACCCGCCCCTATCACCAACCTAACCACCTCCTCCACGCCACTCCCACCCAGTTCACAACGCACACACAAATACTCGTAGCAGTTCAGCAGTGTGGGGTTGGTGGCCACAGTCCCGAGACCTCTACTAGTGCAGCTCCTGCTGTTGACTTTGGTGCTGAGAGTGACCTGGACTCTCTCCCCAGGTGGGGTGGTCGCAAATACAATTGTGCTAGTAAAAGAAGCGCAATTCACTTATCGTTTTCACTACTCAACTTTCAACTTTGTTCCCTTGTAAATTGTTCAGTCAAGTTAAGCAATGCAAGTAATATATGTGCTTCAGGTAAAGTAGAAGAAACTACATGATCGTACAACGTTCTGATGTTGTACGATCATTCCCTCATGTAGAGATGACCAGCTTTTTATATCTAGCACCCTTACCTGATATACTTTCCTTCCTAAGGGGGTGACAATATGAAGATGTCAGTCCTATCACAGATCAATCGTGTTGGTAAGTCAGTGGAGGCTGAAGTACATTATTCGCTTTTTTCATGCCTATTATGCTATTCTCATGTGCTCACAAGTTTCACCTACTATCAAATACCTATTATTCCCACACTATTAACCTATTGTGCTCTATAAAAAACACTTAATTTATACAATCAAGAGTTTCTGTTTATATTGTACAGGTGTTCTAGCTAGGAAAAATCACAAAGCGGTGCTATCCGCCACCTAGGGAGGTCTGGGCATGCCCCAGGGAAAATTTTAGCATTTAGACTTCAGAGATTGAATCTGGGGAATTTGAGGCAAATTGTGGTAATGAACGGACATGTTTTAAAAAAAAAAAACCACAATACATTGTTTCTTTCCCTTTTCTTTTTTTTCCCCCCCGTTTTTTTTTTGGTTTTT